TCATACCATCTTTGTCGCGTGGAGTGCACTGTTATGGCACTGATCGTTACGAACTTGCAGCCATCGCAACCATTCTCGTCTACCTCGATTGTTCAACAATGACGGCCACGCTGCTACACGCAACGTCGTTTACGATGTAGCCGTTAATAGCGCTTCAAGAAAAGCTTGAGATCGAAAGATGGCAACTGATGTGTCTATGTTGAAAGAAATCGTCCAAACACGCTCCTTGCGCATGTTACATAGGATGGACTGCTGCTGGAAAAAGGAGGGCCTTGTTCGAGGCGTAATCGATGTTTTTTTGCTTTCTCTCTTTTCCAGATTATTTCCCACCCCGTACTTCATTCTTGAACGCTCTCACACACCAATTTTATCCCGAGGCTTGCCTTTAATGACACTTCTTTTCTGAATAATTATACCTCGTTTGGTTGCCACAAATAGATTGTTTACTTAGGAGCTTCTGTTTTTTTTTGCAAAGGCCTCGTGTCTGATGCTTCTTCCACTTCTTCTGAAAAGAATTGATAAGCAGCAGCCAGCGTGTCCCAATTCTCAGGTGACTTTGTTGGAACACATACTTTGCACTATCTAACTGCTTCAACTGCTCATCTATGTAGTGGAAGTTGTTCTTGCAAATTTAAAGAAGCGCGACAATGATTACCCCTTACCATAGTGTTGCTTAGTTGGCAAGTTGCATAGACGAGAACGAGCAATCAGAATTAACCGTCGCGTTCTTACTTTCCGGAAATTTTGCGATCCCTCCTTTAGGGGGCTCTCAATGCGACCCCCACCACCACCATCCTCAAAAGGCTCCCTCAATACGGTCCCGCTTCCCCTTCTCCGACCACCACACCACGCTCACTATCATGGCTGTTTCTATAGTTTTTGAACCTGAGACCAGTCGACACAGCCTAGCTCCCCCACTCCCTCCAAATCAGCCGTCGAGCGGGGGGAGGTAAACTAAGTTCCCTAAAGCTGCAAATCCACCAATATTATCTAATTCTCACTACTTCTTTCATAACACTTGAACCAAATTCGTCAAAAAAAAGCCCATCTAAATGTCAACCCCTTTCAACCAACCCCATTCCCACTTCTCCTAGGATCATTCACCCCACCCCCCCCCCTTCAACCCCAAAATACGACCTGTCCTCCTTCCCGAAATCACAAATGCGACACCTTCATTCGAATAGTGCGAACGAAACCTTTGACCCTGCGAGCGATTGCAATTACCACACTACTGTGGGCAGAGTGGTTAGGGTGGATTGTTTGGCCGATCCGGGAGATCTGGAAAACAGTGTTTCGTCTCCCCCACGACAACGTGATGAGATCGGTGTAATTGAAGTTCGTGGCGGTATTTGGGACTGGGGGGGGGGATAAATTGAACTCAACCTTCATCTTCTAGGGCTCTAATGAAAAGGAAGGCGAACTCGCCATTAGCCCATTAGGTGTTATTGATAACAACCTGGCCTACAGTTACAACAAAGCAGTAGTTCGATAACAACCTGGCCTACAGTTACAACAAAGTTCAGTAGTTCAGCAGTACGTTCTCACCATCAACATGCCGAAGTTCCTTATGCCAACACGACAAGGACTTTATCCCTAACACTCAGTAAGCGAGGCCGTCGGGGTAACTCCAAATACAGATATTACTACATGCAGTGAACAGAGTGCGCTGTGGCTAAAACTGATAATAGTAATAATAAAGCTCTGGTGAACAGAGTCAAGCAAAAAGGTGCGATACTAATCGAATCCTGGTCAAATTTACTCCTCAGCCAGAAATCCCTATCGTCTATCGACCGGGACAGCGAAGTGGGAGGGAGAGGTTTGATGTGGTGGGGGAGAGGGTAGTACTCAACCGCAAAATAGCCGATTCCAGAAGTCGTGAAGAATATCCTGTCAATCTCCACCGTCACTCTCAGTGCTCAAATATGGTGATAAGATTGAACTTCATGGGATACGTGATAATGAGCAAAGCTCTTCAGATTCCTCATAGCCTTTTACAAACTACACTCAATGAAAAATGACCATTTGTTGATAGGACATGGTTGGACATTGCCATTGTTAATAGTCCGCCTCGACCTTTCTTATTTGACTGGACCAGTATTGTCTTATCACCGTGTTTATGCCTCACCCTGTGAGCCAACACCTTCCCACGCGATTCTCTACGTTGGTTTTCTGTAGGGTCGGCCAGCCCTGCAAACGAATTAGTAAACCTTGCATGGGAGTCATTGAAGAGCACTGGATTACTTGGTCCTCCCAGAATGAGTTGAGTGGCAGGAAGTTGCATTCTGGAAAAAAGATATCGGAAAAGGAATGGAGGAAGAAAACATCGGAAATTAGGGATAAGATGTCTTATTTTAAAAGGGTTGTGGTAGTCGTAATTTGCCGCAGACCAATCAGAAGGCTAGTTAATCGCAACAGTAAGAGTGGCTTCCACATGAGAAGCATGTTGCAAAGTGAGACCTTTCAAGGTTTTCTCATCAATCAGTGAAATCCGAGCCAATCCAATAACTTGAGCGCGCAGATGTTTTGTCGAGCTTCGTTGCAGTAGGAGCGGTGTCTCGTAAGTGATAATTGACATTGAAAGGTCCAGCCTTAGTGTGATCAATCAGAAAAACTCGGTCGCTCGATCCTTGCTGGCGGTGTCCGGTGATAGCGGCATTTCTTTCATGAGGCGATTCGTTCGACGACCCATGTTGCATACTCAGATCTCGGAAACTGGATAGGCGTGCACTCTTGTCTCAATCAATCTCGCATTACCTCTCATTTTTTATAGCTTAATTAATGTCATATTCTCAGAAGCGAATCGAGTTTTCTCGAAACTTCAGAGTCTGCTGAGACTGCTTTTCCTTATACGCTTGTCTGAAAGCCCAGCCCTACTCTTCACATGAGTGACAGAGTTATGATAGGTCGCTTGTCTGGTTTACGTGTCCACGGGTTAAATCTAAGGTTATGTCGTCGGAAATGTGAGGGGTCTGAAAAGGGAGAAGGAGATTGAAGGGTAACATTGACAATATGTTGAACGGCATGCTGAAACGTACAGAAACGTAAGTTCTTGTCAGGATCTTATCAAAAAAGGCTTCCAACTTACCATAAACCCTCATATGGAGACATGGGTAAATCGATGAGGTGAAGAATGCTAATTACTAATGTGGAGATCAAAACTGCTACGTGGTCTTCCAAGCAAGTTGCGAGCGGTCAAAGCTTCCAGCAAATGCAACCCCAGTGTATAAGGAGGGCTAATCCCTTTGGAGGTAAATTGGTAGCAGGATCACGGAGAGGACATCATTTCTGATACAGGGGCCATCTGCGCCAGGTTAGCGTCACAACTTTCTTTTCTTGCATCAGTTCTTGCCAATTTTGATTCCTCATAACTTGCTTGAAAGTCCACCTAGCAGTTTTGGTCCTCTTATTCATATCATATCATATTTATTATCGGAAATCAAAGCTACAAAACAGAACGTTGAAAATAAGTAAAAACAAATCTCCGATAAGCGTAAACGAAAGAACCAAATGGGACCCCAAAAAGGAGATCTGCCAGAACAGGGAGTGGATCCAGCGCAGAAGGGCAGTGGCCGCCAACACTGCAAACTCAAGAGGCATGGAAGTAGAGCTCCGGATACCAACTTTGTAGGTCCGCCAACCTTGCCGAAATTCGTGAGTAGTATTTATTACCCTATCAATTCACATAGACTTCTATTCTAAGTTTCATTTAAATTTGAAAGCCTTCCCTGGTTAGCTCGTGGCAAGATAGTTTTGCCGGTTTAGTAGGTTTGGAAAGCAAATCGGACAGTCCTCTCGTATTCAGAGCTAACGCTGGTTCTTGTTGATGTGCTTCAAAGCAGCGCTCCATTTCACGACCAGCGGTGATATAGTCCATTCTTTTGGCTTCTCCCAAAGACATAAACATCCAGTGTCTCCAAGATCCTCAGATAAAACAATGTGGGAAGTGTGTACCGCAAGTGTCTGTCATTCTATGAGCTTCATTCATTTTTATGATTATGGTTTACGTCGGAAGAGTGTAAGTACATCTTCGCTAGCCGGAACTGGTGACGGCTACGGTAGCATTTTTTCGAAGATAAAACTCACGGCATTAGGAGCAGAAGGGACACGCCCACATCGAAGGCACTGGGCCACGCCCATTGAGTAGCAACGGTTTTCATAGTTGCCGATTCGTTTAACATTTTTCTCGACGTTAAGTGTGACTGTAAGGCGTAAAGCTTCACATATGAGCTTTTATGATTTTTTACTCTATCATATTTCCTTCTGTGCGCGCTTCTTTTCATATCCACTCTGTGTATTTAGAGCGACTTCATTGACACCTTTAGGCTTAGCCTTGCCTCTTAGCCCTACCGTAAAATCCTTTAATCGTTTTCATAACTTGATCTATTGCAAAGTGAGGTAGGGCTCGTCAAGAGTGTAGTCCCATATTCGCGCGCTGGAGAGCCACGGAATGAACCCCCCTGGAAGAGGTTTACATACAGTGCGGGGGCTCTTTACCAAAATGGTTTCCCGCATGTTGTGGGGGATTTCACGTAGGTTGCAAAGTTGAGGTTCTGTGAAGACCAGAGAAGACGGAAAATTCAAAAATTATGACCTTGGTGTCTTTCGGATTTGCTAAAATTACTATAAGTGGGATGTGCCCCTGGTAATAAATATGACCTCTACAGTTAGCGCTGGCGCTATTTAGAGCAAACCTAGGAGATTCGGCCTAAAATGCGAGGAACGTAGAATTGAACCCTGGACCATTTTCTTACACGTTTCTTATGCCTTTATGGAGCCGCTCAGCGAAAGTATACCTAGGTTTTGTAGCCCACTCATGATTTCTTAAGATGCTGCCGCTTTTCGAACAAGCGTCACATCCTCGTAGACTGCTTGCCAGACCAGAAAATCATTGCGTAGCTAAGTGAATGTTGGTACCAGCACCAATCTCAAGATCTTCCCCAGCAAAATTGTTTACAACCCATCTACGTGCCATCTACTATGATATACCTAAGGCGTAACGCATACAACTTGGCTTTGTTTTATAGCTAATAAGAGAGTTGTTCCCAAGGTATGCACCAGTTGCTTGACTTGCTACACATTCGTTGAGCCATTTTATTAATTTCTCTACTCTGCTTTTCAAAAACGCGTGAGCGATGGTACAACTACGCAATAACTAAAAAGGAACATTAAGTCCAGAAGTAATTCAAACACATAGTGTGGTACCTCTACAACAATCCTCACGGTCGCGGGATGGGTTGGGTGGGAGAGGGGGGGAAACTTAGTAAGTGAGACCAATTACTCTCACTGGACTCAAGCGCTTAGGGATGGAAAGGTCTGTGGGCAAACCCGTGAGCAATTTCTTCTCCCTGCTTCTTCCCTCCTTCTTTCGGCCGCTTAATCCTTGTTAAGCCGCACCCGACCTATGGTAATGTCTCCGCAAGGACATAATATGCTCAAACGTATTATTTTTCTCTGCTCGCGGTACCGCTCGTCGACTACCGTCTTAGGGCATTCTGCTGGACAACATGGACCACGGTATATAAAGGTTCCACTCATCCCGTGCCAAAAGTTCGCATCCTTGAACCGGTGCAAACCGAGCACATTGTTGAGAAGTCTCTGGAATACATCATTCATCTTCTTTTCATTGCCGAAAAAAATTGCATTGCATTTGCTTTTCTTATATCGGACAGCTCGTCAGATGGCGTCATTTTGTAACGCTATTTATTCTAACCGTCTTTTCGTAGATGTTTCCCTTTAGCTGCTAATACTAACATGCATTATACGTAAATGAGATTACGTGCGTCTATTTAAGCGATATCTGCCAATTCCACTCACTGCAAACCGTCCGCCATTATCGCCAAAGCCAATATGCTCATCGGAACCCTTCTTATCTTCAACTTTTGTTCATCCCTTTTTGAGGGCTTTTCCTGTTATACCATTCCAGGACTTGCCAAATGCTGTCTCGTTCTAGATGCTTTTTTCCACAAACCTTTCGGTCTAATTATCACTCGTGCTGATTGATTCATCGATAGTCCTTGCTGAACATCATCATCTGAAATCGATGTGTCGAATTTCAGGTAGATCCGTCGCGTGCGATGTCGACGAGGCAGCATCGTGCCGCTGAGAAATGCCGCTGTTGTCCGTACGGTTTTCATATCGACGTCGACTTCGTCGCCTATGCTGAAGATGTGACAGTAGGCGGAACAAGTCGCACTCCTACGCTTCCTCGTAAGCACGGCGAACGATCGCTGATGAGCCCTTTGGATAGCATTTTCAGGTAAGAGATTAGGTTATGGCTTGACCCTTTGACTACTGCTGGTACGCATGTGTGCCACTTCCGTAGTGAAAGGCACTCCCACAACTGTGGGACTTATTGTGCTAGGATCGCGATCTGAAATTGTGCACGGATGGGAACTTTATGGTTCTTACTCTTGAAACAAATCGTCACAAGAAGGCGAGTTACCCTGGATGAGTTACTAAAGCAAGTCGTACCGAAGGTCACTGGATAGGGTGCGCAGCTCCCAAAAAGTAGTTTTCATGTTTCGCACACTTTTAATACTGAAATGTGTATTTGTAAATGGTAACTAATTGCCGATTCATATTTCTAAAATACTCATTCGAGCGGAGATGGTGTGGTGACTAGATGGGCCACTACCGCGCGCATGGTCCCTGGATCAAATCCCAGGTCAAACACAGCGTACATCAGCCAAATTTCTGCAGATGATTAGCTGTTGCTGGAGCAATAGTTGCTATGCAAAACATCAATATTTTATCACAAAAAAGTCGTAGTCTAAGGGTTAATCAAGGCTTTCCATGAAGTGCTCTCTATAATCTCTTCCGTAGTATGACGCGATAGACCACAGAAAAGCATTGGAACGTGCACGATAGAAATGTACCCCCAGCATGACTTCAGCATTCCTGGAAGTGTGGGAAGTTCATTCAACATAAGATGCACTTTTGAGGGAACTGCGAATAATCAAATCTGGTCGTCGAGTGCTAGGCGTTGTTAGCACCTGAACGCTTATGCGCGGCTGCCGCCCTGCCCCAGAAATGGGGCACCCGTTAGGTGGCGACCCTTGCGTTTCTCACTTTAATGTCTGTACTGCTTGGTAAGGGGGTTGAATTCAAGAAAGCCATCGCGACGGAACCCATTTTAAAGCCACGGGTCGGGATTAGGTCCCATGAGCAAAATTTGGAATGTCTTTTTTTCCTACTTGATGCAGCACGGTTACTTTTCTTCAGAGAAGATTCAACAATGAAGGAGTTCTTGTAGTGTCATTTCAATGCTGGGCGGTATCTCACTCTTCTCCCTTAGCTGAAGCGAGGCGTGTTTTCAAATAACAGGCCGTATTGGTACTGTCAGACTACCTGCTCGGCCTGGATGCCCTCTGAAACTTGCATTAGAAATAGGATTGAAATTGCTCAAAAGCTAGATCTAGAAGTGAAGTACATATGTATGTAGACCACCGTGCTGTCCTATTCTTCTTCCTTGTCTTTTACAAAATCTACAAGGGAGGTCGTTCAGGGTGTGCCAAGCTTTTTCAAAATGGTTTCTTGCATGACATTGGGGCACATATGGGGACCACAGAAGCATGGTTCATTTTTCCTGAACGGCCCTCTGAATACCAGAAAAGGGGGTCCCTAGTTCGATTCCTCGTTGT